AAAGTCGTGACAATTACAGCTTTTTAAGAGACTGTTATACAATATAATATCTTTTTAATGACATGACAAAAATATAAATTATAAAAGTGAATATCTTAATAACCATATAAGATAAATAAGGAGAGCGATGAGGAAGGATGAGGGAGCAATTAGGACGAACTTTAATAACCATGACATATAAGATAAATGAGAGGAGGGATGAAAAAAAAAAGGTGCGAGAAAAGGTAAGGGAGCAATTAGGACAAACTGAATTATCAAGACCACAATAGAAGAGTGAAAAAAGAGAGAAGAATAGGGAAGCAAGCGAAGGTAAGGGAGGAGCTGATGATGAGGGAACAAAAGGAGTAGAGGGAAATAGGTCTCAATATGTGACGGTGACAATGTGAGAGAAAGAAGACAAAGAGATAAGGAGCACTTGAGGAGGTCAATTATGTAACAAAGAAGCAATATATAAAAGTATTAAAAAACTTAAAATTTGCAACACCATAAAGACTTGAGTGATAGAAAGAGTAGGGGGAAAGAGAAGTAAACCTGGTAGGGAGAGGAAGTGTATATGTGTTCTCTGTGTGTTAAATGAAAATGGTAGTAACATATAACTTTCTCAAAATCAAGTGATATGGGCGTAGGACTATGATTACAAAAAAAATGTTAAAATCATTTAAGAGTGTGACAGAGATAGAGAGCGGGCAAGAGGGTGGGGGGGAGAGAAGAATAAGGATCAAGAGAAACAGGTTAGGGAGAGAATGAGAAAGGAATAAGGAAGAGAGCAAAAAAAAAGGTGACTATGTGATGGATAAGATGTTAAAGAAAGATCGAGGTCGTCAAGGATACTAGGAAGAGAAAAGTCGAGACAATTACAACTTTTTTAGGAGACTGTTATACAATATAATATCTTTTTAATGACATGACAAAAATATAAATTATAAAAGTGATAACAATATAAGATAAAGAAGAGGAGCGATGAGGGAGCAATTAGAACGAACTTTAATAACCACGACATATAAGATAAATGAGAGGAGGGATGAAAAAAAAGGTGTGAGAAAGGGCGAGGGAGCAATTAGGACGAACTCAATTATCAAGACCACAATAGAAGAGTGAAAAAAGAGAGAAGAATAGGAAGCAAGAGGAGGTAAGGGAGGAGCTAATGATGAGGGAACAAAAGTAGTAGAGGGAGATAGGGCCCAATATGTGACAGTGACAATGTGAGAGAAAGAAGACAAAGAGATAAGGAGCACTTCAGGAGGTCAATTGTATAACCAGGAAGCAATAAACAAAAGTATTTAAAGACTTAAAATTTGCAACACCATAAAGACTTGAGTGATAGAAAGAGTAAGGGGGAAAGAGAAGTAAAGCTGGTAGGGAGAGCAAGTGATATGGAGTGAATATGTGTTCTCTGTTTGTTAGGTGAAAGTGGTAGTAACATATAACTTTCTCAAAATCAGTTTTATGGATTCGACACTAATCATACTCACACGATAAGTAGCAAAGGTCTTAAAATTACCCGTCATCAAATATATATGAAGGTCAGTGCTTGTGATAAAAAAATAATCTTCCACTTGTAAGAAGATACAAAGACATGCACAGAATATTAATGAAATTGTTTCTATTACTATTAGTATGAGATTTATTAGTTTTTGTCAATATCAATCATCAAAATTGTTATAGTTATAGGCCTATAGCTGTAAAAAGTGACAACCTGGTCATTTGCATTTAGTCTTTGGAGGTAGAACTGTTTTATGTGTGATTACCTGCTTCCATTGCATCATTGCCCATGCGTGCACAAGTATTTATATCTTTATATTAAAAGTATATGTATAATGTATAACTTTGGAGTATTTGACAGGTTTTAACTCCTCCATAATTGGTGCTTTTAGTGGATTATGTGCTTTAATGGGTGTTGCAGCAACATTTGCATCTGCTAAACTCATCGAAGAGCTTGGTATCTTAAAGGTTGCTGCTGTTGTAAATTTTCTCTCATTTATTTAAAATCATATTGAGATATTTTCTCAGAAAAAAAAAAAATGTTGCAGGCTGGGGCTGTTAGGTTAATTTTCAAGGCATCACTTCTTGCTCTAGCAGTTGCAGTTTACTGGAGTGGAAATCTTTCTCAGCAGACACCCATCTTATTCTTCTTGTTCCTAATCATAATTATATCTTACAACTCAATCTACCTTGGTTTGATTGATGAAATGCTCGTCTTACCAATGAATTTGACACAATTGTTAGTAAATTGTGGTAGTCTTCTACATATATTGTCCCTTTTTTTAAAGATGTTTCTTATGGTGATGATGAAGGGTTTCATTTATTGTTGCAGATTGTTTGATACACACACCTGTTATTAGTTGTCATGTTTTCTCTCTCTATCTCCCATTCTGCTTTGATATGCAGGTTTTATCAAGGCTAGGACACATGTCATATGATGTAATTGGCCAGCAGATTCTTCAAACTGGAATCCCATCATCAAAAGCTAATCTTATTGGGACGACAGAGGTCTCCGTGCCAGTTTGGCTGAGTTTATGATGTTAGGCATAGCCAATAATCGCAAACGATATCTCTCATTTTGGATTTCTAGATATGCTTTCACTCCTGTCTGCTATTGCGGCAGCATATATCTTCTGCCTATGGTTGATGAATCCTTCAGAAGAGCAAAGGTAGCTTTTTTTCCTTTTGAACGCCAGTTTTGATGACGTGAGTACTCAACCTTAATTCTGTTTCTTGTTACTCATCTTTATTAGTTTTGCACTCACAGGCTCACAGCCATATTTGTTTTAAAAGAAAGCTTTTTGAACAAAATTTTATTTTCAATGGAAAGAAAAACCCCAATTTATAACTCCGTGTTCCTTTGTTTGGCGCTTTGATAGAAAGGTTAGAGTGGAAAGGAAGAGGGAAGGATGACAGAAGTAAGGTGAAGGGTAGAAAATGTGGCAATACAAAAGGGAAATTAAAAGTATTTTCACCAATTACTGACCAAAATAGAAAATGAGAACACTGGTAACCCAGAAAAATGATTTTCCTCCCAACCAAACACAGCCTCAGTCAAGATCTGAAGAGGTACTCTTCAATCTTGTTTGTACATGCTTATACTTGTGTTTTGAAAGTTGGCCACAAATATAAGTTTTCTTAAAGGAGCTTCAGTGTAGAATATTATTGCGTAGAACACTGCGCTCGTTATCTCTCTGTGTCTGATTTCTTCCATAATTTATGTGTCCAGGCGTTGCTGAGTATTGGCCAAGCCTTACATGCTCAAATTAACATCCTTACATGCGTTACTTCTCTATTCTGAGTATTCTTGTACATCAATGAAAAGGTGTCAAGTTTGACCCAATTTTATTCTTTGCTCTCATCTTAGTGGAAGATCATGATGCTATGTTGTTCACTAATGATGAGCCTAACCCTGTACAGACTACAGAACTCTCATTAAGTATAATGTTTATGTAAGCAGTTGCTGTGAATTACCAATTTGTCATCAAACATAATGCCTCGCGCGACCCAATTTTAATTTAGATACTTCTGGTTGTGAATATGTGCTCTATAAAAAAATAAATAAAAAATTAATGTAGTCAAATTGTTTTGTGAATAATGTTCATTCTAATTTTTTTTTGGCAATACCAGTTATACTTTTTTTTTGTCAAATCCTAGCTTTAGCAAGTATTTAATCTTGCTATTGACACGATTTATAAACAATGTGGTTTTGTTCCGAATGATTGGTCCTGTTAATAACTTGAGTATCCTGTTGAATTCAACGTTTTTTTTTTTCTCTTCAAGCGCGTATTATTACTACCAAAGTTCCCACCTATAATTTGTCTCACAATTGTTGCTTATTATAACAGGATGAAATTGAGAAAGAAAGGAAGCAAAGCAGGTAATCCCTTTGCTTTTCCTGTAAGAAAAGTTTTTTATGGCCTCATTATTGTCATGAGTTATGATTGTTAGAACTAGAATGCTCAAAAAGGGATTATTTAGCATAGGCACTGTGTTTTGGGGCAAATTTTGGTGATTTACTCACCTTGTTTAATTTTGGCCCGGGTCATATTCATTTTTCATAAGTAGATTATTATGATTGGTTATCAATGATATACCTACTAATTTTTAGCTCAGGTTGGGTCAATTTTTGTTCGAGCCGTGTAATTTTGGATATTGTTTGAGATTGGTTCAAATAATTCGGTATGGGTCATTGTCAAGAACTATTAAAAATTGATCTTTGACAACCAATTCATCGTGCTGTATTTGTTTGTGGTTGCAGTATCATGAGGAGCAGAATTTACCGGGAGGCACTACTGAGTAGGGCATAAGAAGAAGATAAGCTATGAACAATGAAGAGTCGTTATAGCTGCACCCTTTAGATTAGACTCAAATTATAGAGGAACCAGAGTCCGATTATAGTATTTAGTAGTAATTATGCAATCTGATCCTCATAGATCAATAATTAAGTAATTATAAAGCAATTACAACATTGTAAATATATTAATAGCTAATAGACAAAGTTGTACTAGAGATTGTGCTGCACCTAATTTTCCTATTGTTGGGAGTCGAATATCTATTCTTTTAGTTTGCTTTTGGAGCCAACTCAATGCTCCATGATTAACCAATACACATGAACTTACTAACATGCGCATATGCCTTATGCAAGCCTTCTAATAATCCCCACTCTAACTTCTATACCTACTCATTATATACTATAACTAAACTGATCAATAGGCAAATTAACTTACATTAATAAATACACTACGACTAATTACACACTAATTACCTGAACAAAATCACATTGGGCTAGTATCAACAAGCATCCAAACTAAATTTTATATGTGGGTGAGGTGTGGCACCTAGTGGATATAGGAACTTCAAGTTCATTGTAAATGAGAGGCAAATCACACAAAAGAAAGATACGTTATACAAAAAATTATTAAGGACCATGGAATCTTCTTCAAGTAACTAACTTGGCAAACAACATATTAGGATATTTGGAACATCTATCCATGGTTATTTGAATTCAAACATACCTTTTGAGGTACATTGAAGACAAGTGATCCTTTGTATTCAACCCAACCATCTCCATCCTTAGCTTGATGATACTGACCGCAGTCCTGGGATGAAAATAATGAACAAAATAAAGATGAGAGAAACAACACAGGCATCCAATAAAGACTAAATTCCTCAAACACGCACCTGACACCATCGTGCCTTGGCCTTAGACCGATTAGTACAAACCCATATGTGTGAATTGCCACATTTTGTGCATTGTATCCGTCTTGACTCCTCAGTGAAAAACTCACGTGATTCCTGTGTAAGGCACAAAAATATCATCAGATGTGATATTCACATACTGTTTCATAAAGATGAGTATGCATTCATTTTAATGGTGAGCACACCACCCACCAAAAATAATAAATTAAAACCACCTTATGGTGATTATTGATGCCATCATGCCATGTACCAGAAATAACCTATAATAATGCTGGAAAATCTTATTATAAAGACTTGGAGAGGCTCACAGAGCCAAAAGATGAAAGCATCAGACTCCAACTACAAAGTCTTGCAGACATGCTTTTCAATCATCTGATATAGTTGAGCGATATCCACAATGTAAGTGTCCATAATTGAGTTCCCTATTCAGTCATTCAAGCCCCATTTAGTTTGATGAAAAATAAAATAATTCCCATAGTAAACAATTTTCAAGGGTAAACACAATTATAAAATAATTTTCCATTGTCAGGTTCTTTAGAAGGAAAGATATAGAGAAAGAGTAGATGGTGAATGGGAGGAGAGATTGAAAGAGAAGATGTAAGAGTAGGGATTCTAGCTATGGGAAAAATATGTGGCATCCCTTTCTTACAAAAGGTAAATGTTTTGCACCACTGAAGAGCTACCCTCCACCTTTTGGAAATTTGTCTTGCACCTCTTAACAAACCAAATCATTTTCCTAGGAAAGGTTTCCATCAAAGCAAACAGAGCCCGAATAAAAGAAGAGGAAAAACCCGAAGAACTAAACTTAGCCACTTGTATAACCTTGGTGCATGTAGTATGTAGCCAACAAATTAAAGGTCAGAGAAACTAGTCCAAAATTGATAGTGGAAAAAACAGCAGAGTAACTTGAGTGTAAGTGTGTTAAAAAGAGGATGAAAAGCTGCTGTGTCCAGCACATAACTAAAATGGAAAAAATAATCAATTTATGATAGCTTCAACAAGAGACGAGGAATTGTTTTGACGTATGAATTTTTCGTCTAGCAAAACTGAAAGCAGCATGTACTGCTGGCCACAATGACATCCTACCTTTAGCTACCACAGCTAGCTCTATCTCATGGAATTCAGTGTATGAAAAAGCTCCAAAGCGCAACACGGCGGTAAGGATTTCTGTAAAGCTTAGGCGTGCCTAACCTCACTGAGTTGAGCACACTTACTAAATGTGAGGAAAAAAAAGTTCTGGAAAACAAGTTGTGCGCCTCAGTGCACCTTTTGGTGTGCCTAGACCAAAAAATATAACCACAGGGTCCATGCCACCACCTTGCACCAAGGCATGCCTTTTATAAACTGCTCAAACTTAGACCACGCTTTGAAAAGAAAACATGTCCTACCATACGCTAAGCAAAAACATTGCATAATAGCTCATTATGTTCAGTGATCAGGGAGCATCCTTATTGTACCCCCTTCCTCACTTTTAAAGTTTTCCAATGTCAATGTGGGAAATCCCCTCCCCCTCCCTTTCACCTAATCTCAGATAAGAAATGTCCACAAATGTATTTGACCCTTGTATTGCCATAAATACTGTTAGCCAAAGCACAATCACTGTCCAAAGTTGTGTTAACAAACACTCCTACCCCAATTGAAAAAAAAAATAATAATAATAATAATAAAAACTCTGTTTCAATTTATTTGTAGTGATGTGACATTTCATCAATATCTAGGTAAAATTTGTTTGAGTGGTATATGGAGAGAGAGAAATAAATGAGGAGAGAGGGATAGAGAGAAATGACAAGTAAAAAAAGAAACCATTTGTTGCAAATAAATTGTAGTTTCCATTTATGGTACATGTTGCAAATACATTTTAACAAAGGTAGTAATAGGAAAAATGTATATTTAAATTGTTCAAATAAAAAGGTCATTCACAAGTGCATACTTGACTTCTTTCTAAGCTTGATGCTAGCATAGTTGCATAGTCATATTTGGAAACTCTTACCTATTCTTAGTATGATGTGGATTACAAAACACTAGCATGGATCATGATAAAATACCTAAGAAGCTAGTTGCCAACATATGAAATGCTCCTACAGAGATTATATTAATATTTTAATTCAATGACTAACCCAATTGATACCTGATTTGAGGTGCTAGGAGACTTTTGGGAAATATTTTTATATTCCTCCTTCCTCAATTGCTCATCATAATCTCTTCTCTTAGTAGAATCCGAAAGTACCTGAAATCAGTAATGAACTAAGTTGTGGATACAAAGTAACAAACAATTCTTCCTGGTAATCAAAAACAACTTATAATAATACAGGTAGAGTAAAGCAAATGGATTAAATAATAGGTTTAATTAAACATTAGAACCATATTCATTACCTCATAAGCACACTGAAGCTTCTTAAACGACTCACTTGCTTGTGGACTTCCCATATTTTTATCGGGATGCACTAGCATGGCCTGTACAATGGAAAGAATGAATTGATGCAAGGAAATTACAGATCAAAAGAAACAGATAAGATGATAAAGTGCAAGAATAATTCTCTTTATTATAAGGTAAACAAACAAACACGTCACATCGCTATGTCAACAGAAAAATTCCAATTCTAGAAAGTTTCTGACTTCCAAGCAATGATTAAAAGAGACGATTCAGCAAAAGAAAATGAATGTAAAGGATAAAAGTGCAAACAAATTTATCCTTTTGTAAGCACGTACATCCATTCTGCATATTGTTGCAACAGAAAGATGCATCAATAACATGAAATATTCGGCACTTTATAAGAGCCCATTGCTCAGCACTTCAACATGAAAAGTTTACTGATCTTACTGCATAAGGACAACCAACTTTGGCATTTAATTGCATTAAATCCATTTAGCTGGAAGGTAGCCACATGTATACAGCAGCAGATCTGGCTGGACAATCACTAAAGTGAATGTATTGTAGAAGTTCGGGAATCAAAGCAACGCAAGAATAAAAGTAGATAGCAGTCGGACAAATGCCAATTGGTTTTGTTATCTAATTAACGACACTAGTATCAAAATTACATAGAGATTAAAAGGTAAGCTGAAAACTGAACAGGAAATTAAGATTTACTTTGTACCTTTTTCCTATATTCCTTTTTTAGTACAGTAGCATCAATTTTCTTGTGGCGAGGAAATCCCAATGCTTCATAATGGTCATTACAGCTTAAAATTCTTCTCATTTCAGTTAATGAACATTTGTCTTCTTTGATCACATGACTAGGAGAAGCTTCTTTCTGATTTTTCAAGACAGTTGCAGTACTAGAAGTTGTTCTATTTACAGCTTTACTGGATGCTTTGCCAGCTGAAGTAGATGAGGGCTGTTCTTCAGATTCATCAGAGGGAATAGAATACTCACATTCTCCAGAAAAATTATCCTCTGTAAATTCTTCTGATGCTTTATGCTCCTCATAGCGTGTATTCTCGTTCAGAGTATCACACCATTGCAACAAATAATTGAATGCATCATTTGATAGGAATGCAATGTTAACTGAAAGGAAAGAGCCAACCAATCCTATTCGTACTTTCACACAGTAAACAGAATAAAGCATTGCCATCAAGACCACCAATCGTGCATGATTTAGGGAAAACAAGTAACCTGCATAACAAAAGACTTACAAAGCGTTATAGTTTGCTCACAAAATTAATATATACAGCAAATGAGGCTATTGGGAACTAGAATCTACCTCCCTATATATTCTACAAATAGAAAATAAAGATGCAGCAGCTATGTTGCCTACCTTCCATTATGTTAATTTTCAGTAATCATGTTTAAAATCTAGGATCTCATGACCATTCAAATTTTGAAGTACTAGATGTTCAATGAGCTGATAATATACAAAATATTATTCTAACAAAAACATTTTATGCAAGGGCTGCCAATCCAAAATCACTGTCTCTATCTATTTTATCGTCTTTCTAACTTTTTACAATTGCCTATTCTTTAAAAAAACAAACAAAGGTACTGTAAGTTTCAGCAGAAGGAAACAAATGTCATCCTTCCCCAAATAAAAGTCCCATTTGACCCAAAAATCTAGTACTTAAATAAAAATAACACTTCTCCACTTACTTTTATTCACCGTTTGAAAAAAAAATATATTAAAAAAAAAAAACTCCATTATTTTCTTTTTTATTCATATTATATTATTAACTAACTAAACCTCACTATCTTTTTTTTTTTTAATTCATTAAATTCACATTGAATAAGCTATTGAATTTCTACAAGCAGTATTTGAAAACGATAAGGCAGATAAGCAAGCATATGAATCGTTAAAGTCAGATATATTTATCTATTTCTTTTGACAGCAAGACCTAGCAGGTAAGAAAATAAACTTTACCTCCTACCACGAACAATATTCCTGTAATCCAGAAGTTAGCATACATCCACAAAATTAAAATGGCAAACAGCCCTACAATAAAAAGACCAGGTGTGTAGCCCAAGTACTGAACAGCGACTCCAGCAGCTGCCTGAAATTTTCAAATTCAAGTGCATAAGTCCAAAGCTATTTGGTAGCATAATTAGGAACCTAAACAACACATAAAGTTTAGTTGGTGATAAGTAAAAAAAGGAAGAATCAAATAGATGTAACACTTCAGCCCTGCTGTGTTTTAAAATGAATTGATTAGCATTGAAATCCTCTTTAGTTATGAGCAAATGATGATTATTACCACTGAGTTAATTATGTGGTGATCACTCAGTACTTTGCAAGGAAGATATGCATGGCAACAGTAGTTTACGAAAACCTAAGTCAGCAAATTCTTGCACTACGTACATCAAAGTAGATCAAAGAACAGGAAACTCAACATCTAGTCATCTGTGGAAGTCCTCAAAAAAAATCCTCAAATTTAGTCAAGCTCTAAATTCATTAAGACAAGCCAGGAATTAGAAGCAAACTTTAACTTGGATGCTCATAAATATATTGCACTTTGGAAAATTGAACTATTGAACAACAGGTGCAATAGCAAATTACCCACATTCTTTCAAATTATCTTTTACTAATCAAACCTTACACATTCTTACTACGTAATCAGAGAAAAGTGGCAACTCGTTCCATAATGATGAATTAAGCATAAAAAGTTAATAGCGGAAGCTGTTCAGGCATTGATGTACAAGGCATAAAGAGAGAGTGCCTTTATCACGGTGATATGATTCTACTGAGGAATCGTCAAGGATTCTAAAGAAGCACAAAGTATTATGCATTTCATGTATCTTTTTATACATATATGTAGTGGCATGAAATTATTTTATATGAAGTGGTGTAGATGATGCATCATTCATGTCACATTTTATCCAATGGAAGATTGACAAAAGAACGGAGAGGATAACAAAAACAATAAAAAACAGTCAAATACAAAGGAACATGTGGACAAACTTTCCTTGGGAAAAGTAGTTCCATCCTCAAGAAACAATTTCCACCCCTCTACAACCGAATGGAGGAAGATAATTTAGTCCAAACCAAACACACTCTACACGTAGACACCTCAGATAAGATAAAGTATGAGAGTGTGTGAGCAGCCTCTAAGCACTATTTACAATTTACATGTCATTGCCAAGAAGGATTAAGCAAGTCTGTGTTATTCAGTAAAAAATTATCATTTCTCATTAACAACTAGCCTTCTAGAAACCCACAATTCAAATCAACTCCGTCACTAAACAATTCAAGGAAGCAAAACACCCACACAACAGTACACTTGTACACCACAATTTTTCCATCAAGAATCTAGCATAATTTAGAGCAACTGTTGTAAAACCCAGTCATATACTCGCATAACCAAACACTCTAAGTGAAGAAACCGCATGTATGATAAAGTATAACAATGCCAAAAGCCCATCGGCAGAATCAGCAATTTATTGGCCACAAGGTTTGCAACCCAGTAATCAATTCTCTTCATACTTCACATTTCTCATCATCAACCACCCTATTAGAAGGCGATAGGTCACATAATCACTAAGAATATTCGAGACATAACATCCACAGAACACACACTACACCATATCCTAACACACAGTGACAAACGTGAAACCCGATCACATAATCAAGACTATTCAAAACACCACATAATTAATAACGAATCTAATAAGATCAACATATCTATCTAAATACGGGGTCAAGGGGAGTAATTTAAAACCGCGAAAAATAAATCAAATCCACAACTTACCGTACTAATCAAGACATAAACCAAACAAGATATGGAGGTCAAGCTCAAAAAACAACTCCACATAATGACCAGCAATGCCACGGATTGCAGCCCAATCAACGATCGAAAACCCCTTAAAAAGCTATCCTTCCAATAAACCAACACTAAAACCACAAACCTACAGAAATTCTTGCAACCATTACAAACCATTGGCCAATGTCGATCAATGGCGACCCAAACCCTATCTCTGATACAACAAGCAGTTGTACGAACAAATGAACATGCATACTTTTGAGATTGCACCCATCTCCAACCTTGCTGAACCAACCCAATATCCTCCATTTTCTAACCCTAAAATCAAAATTCTGGGCTAAATAAGAAATTCAGCTAAACTAAACATTGTTCATGAGAAAATCGAACTCAATTCGAAAACCGAAACCGAATACAACCCAAATGGAGGATAATCCCAACAATTCGACGCCATTAAAGAAATACACATAATGTGAGAGATCCAGAAAGTTTCAACAATCACCGACAATAGGAGAGAGAAAGGGAATAATGGTGGGGAAAATAGCTTTAATTGATTCTTAAAGAGGAAGAGTTGAGACAAAATTAGAAGCTTTATGATTTATGAGATTTCCTTTTTTCCGCCATTGTTGTTGGTTCAGGAAGAGCTCGTGATAAAGGTAGAGGAGTTCTGGTTGAATAAAGTTTTAAAAAGTGCAAGTGGAAGAAGAAATGACAGGAGAAGGAATCAAAAGAATGGCAAACATGTCTGACTTCTACGGATGAGAGTAAGTTTCAATAATTAGTTTGTGGATTAGGGTTGTAATGTTTTTGTGTTTATGTGATAGTACTATAGTAGTGTACTATTGTGTGACAATGTGACATTGGTCCCACTCAATTTATTTATATTTTATCGTGTTTTATTTTATTTTATCGGTAATCTAGTTTGTGTCCCAAAAGTTAGAGTTGTTCTGATATACATACTAGTTGTTGGCCCGCGCGTGTAGTCCCCTAATTTAGTGATATATGCTCAATGATTAATGTGTAATTAGTCGTTGCTATATGTGTAGACTATTTCAAATGTTTTATAGGTAAATTAGATTGTTTTGCTAATGTATTAATGTAATATACGTGTGTGTTAATTAGCAAAATAATTTCAGCAAATTACTCACGATTTCAAAAGCGGTAGAAGTCATTATTAAATTGTTGATTCCAAAAAATGGGTTGTTAAACGTTTTTGTGCAAAAATAGGTTATTAGGAATTTGAATTTAAGAACTTTGTTAATCGAATTTAAATAGTTATTATGAATTTGAATGTCGATAGTATATTGATTTAGCCGCAGTTTAATCGAGTTTAAGTATATTTCAGTTGTGGTTATTGTTGTAGAATTTTATATATTGGAAATAGTATCATATATTGGAAGCTTATAATTTTCAGGGATTCCTTCTTCAACAACTTGGTCACACTTTCTCCCCTCTTACTTAATATTAGCCCAAACTCTTTCTCTCCCTTTCTTTCCCGACCTATTCTTTCTTGTCCGAGTTTCATCCTCTAAAAGCTTTGAAAATAATAGGTTGTACTTGGTCTTTTTTCCCCTGGCCCCACTCCCTCTCCCCCCCCCCCTTCCGATCCTTCTATCTCTCTTGACTTTTCTAACTCGAGTAATCCTTGATCGAGTAACCCATGAACGAGTAACTCCTCGAGTAATCCTTGACCAAGTAATTCGAGTAATCCCTCAAGTAACCATTTACCAAGTAATTCGAGTAACCCTTGATCGAGTAATCCCTCAAGTAACCCTTAACCGAGTGAACCTCACGAGTAACCCTTATCTGAACCCCACAAATAGCCCCTAATCGAGTAACTCGAGTAACCCCTTACTGCATAACTCAAATTACCCCTAACAAAATAACTTGGGTAACCCCTGCCACACGGTGTGGCTTGCTACACCAAAAATTTGTTGTTTGATAATATATGTTGTGACAAAATCGAGTTCAAATAAGTGAGAAAAGAAAAAACAATAATCGAAAATTATAGGTCGCACTTACTCCCTCTCTCTCTTCCTTGAGCCTTCTCCTTCGTTCTTTATTATTATATCATATGCTCTTTCTCTGTCCTTTTCTCTCAGTCCTATTCCCTATTTATCACTCTCTTTATTTCTCTTCCAACCCCCTTGCATCTCTCTTGTCCCTATATTTTTTTTAGCCTCTCTCTATCTCATCCTCTTTCCTTCATAACCCATATTATTTCTATCTCTTCCATTTTTTCTAACTTTCTTTTCTCCCGGCCTTTATCCTTTCTTCTAGCTTACCCCTTATCTCTTTTAAACTGGTATCTCTATCTTTCAACCTGCCATATCTCTTAGCCTCTCTTTTTCTCCCTCTTCACACCCTTCGCTTTCCTGGTTCCCTTTCTCTTTCTCGATGATTCTCTCTATTTTGGCCCTTGTTTCTCTACCTCCATTTCCCTTTCTCTCCTTCTCCCCTTCCTCTCATCCTCGATCTTCATCTTTCTCTCCTTCTCTCATTGTGGTTGTATACACATAAAAAAGCACTTACTCATGAATCTAAGACAATTCTACCATAATGTTTAACTTTTATGTTAAATGTGCTACGATTCAGATGACTTGTCCTTATTTCATCCTCTAAAAGGCTTTGACAATTATAGGTTGCACTTAATCCTTCTCTACAAACCCCCTTCCCCCTCTCACTTCCCCCTTTCCCTTTTATATCTCTTGGTTTCTCTCTAATGCGCGCGCTCCAAATGGAAACACGTGATGTAAGACATGCTTGTTAACTATAATGTTGGAGTTCCGATGTTTTTTTTTTTTTGGCATATCAAAATTGTTATGTTTGATTTGTGCAACAATAATTTGAGTGTGAGCGTCTTAACCACACCAACCCTACTTGATAAATTCCTAACCCCAAAATAGTTTGCTCAACCCTAGAAATTTGCTCACCTCTTAAAGTCTAAAAATATTGGTTGTGAGTGTCCTAGCCACACCAACCCTACTTAATATGGTTCGACAAACATCTATTCGTGCGCGTGAATTTTTTTGACACCATATCGAGTTGAATATATAGTTTGCTCATCCTTAAATAATTTGTCTACCCCTAAAAATTGTATACAATTTTCCTTACCCCTTAATAGCTTGCTCACCCTTAAATAACTTTTTTGCCCCTAAAATTTGTATACAATTATCTCACCCATAAATTAATTGCTAACCCGTCAATAAATTGTTAACCCCTCAATAGTCTGCTCATCCCTAAATAATTTGTTCACTCTTAAAAAATAATATATAATTACCTTGATCCTGTATAAATATGTCACCATTATATAAATTTATCGCCTTTAAATAACTTGTTCACCCCAAAAAATTGTATACAATTATCTCACCATTAAATAAATGCTCACCCGGCCCCTAAATAGTGGCTTTCGAGGTAGTCTTTCACAATAATACCTAGTGTTGGACTCCACGCGCGAACTCCAATTAGCAAAATGTGATGGAAGCCATACTTGTTAACAATAATATTGGAGTTTCGATGTTATTTTCTGTAGGCGTATCGAAATTATAATGAGTGTATAATTTTGATTGTGCAACAGTAATGGATGTTTGAAATAATGTTAGGCACGTAAAATCTACTTCCTCCGTTTTTTTAATAGTTGCAACATTGCGCACGTGGTAGTTGGAATTTTTGTAATTCTTGTTTTAAGGTGTTGGAATATGGTTTTTTATTTTTATTTTCAAAAAGGTAATGAGTTTGAAAATAAATTTAGTTCGAGTGCTTGTTACATGTGTCTAAAGTAGTGTTGGTCATGGATATTTTTTTTAAAAAAATTGATAATAATATTTTTGGTAAGGGAAAAAATGAAGTATATTCTATTAAGAAAGTGTAAAAAATTGATCACTTTAGTTACGTTATTTTTGTGCTAACTATAGGTGTTTAGAGTTGGTCTTCAATTTGCTTGTAATTCCAAATTCTTAACCCTAATTGAGTTTTAAATGCAGTCAAAAGATAGGACTTTTTAAATATTTTTTTTAATAAACTTATAAGTTTTTAAACATTTTTAGATTTTTTTTTTTTTTTTTTTTTTTGTTGTTGTTGTTGTTGTTGGTGTTGTTGTTGTAATCTATGGATTGGCTTTTGTACTTGGACCAAAGCCAAAAAAGATAATATCTTATGATTTCTTATGGGCCACACATTAAGCTCTTGATTTGTAACATGAATTGGGTCCAACCTAATAACATTTTCACATTTACAAATTTACTACTTCTCTTTATTAATTTTTTATTCGGATATGATTCTTTTTGCTTCGAGAGACAGATTAAATGGTTATTCTGTCACTAATTCTTGCAAATATTTATAAACGATTATCTAGGGTAGCTTCACGCACAGTAATTTAGTAGAACCTTTATGAAAAATGTGATGATGTAGTTACATTTGGTGGTTTGGAGTTAGTCATAGTGCAAGAGTGTATCCCAGTGTTGAGACTTGAGAGCCTTTACATAATGCCCTTGAAAGTATGTCATGATAGCTTATCACTACAAGAAAAATGTCTTTTCATAGCGATTATTTCGTAGCGATTGTACATTCGCTACAATATGCAACTCTGTTTGTGAAATAATTAAGGAAGTCGTATCATTTTATAATCGCCATGGTTTTTCCCATATAAAGTCAATACGGAAAACATAATAATACATATCCACACTATTTTTACACATTTATATAATTTTAAGAAATCGTATCATTTACAATCGCCATTAAATCCTAAAAATCGATACGAAAAGCCTTTTCAACACTTGATATATAAATATTGTTTGACAAAGAATACATAAAATATGTCATAGCTTATTGGTGAAATATTTAATATAAGAGTTTGAGGTTGCATGTTTGAATCTTGTAAAGATCATATGCATGGTTGTTTTTTTTTTTTTTTTTTTGAAGAAAATGAGTTAAACATTTATAGCGATTGTAATCGCTACAATAATCACCACAATTGGATGTAGTTTTTTGTATCGATTATTGAGGCCAACCCCAGTGATATTGAAAACCACTACTAAAGGCTAAGGCAACGGGGATATTGTATCGAATGACCATTCGTTGGGGAAGCTTTTTGTTGCAATTACAATCGATACTAAAGGTTAAAATAATCGCTACGAAAATGTTATTTTCTTGTAGTGTATAACCTTCAGCTCAAGCACTCGAGATTGATAATGTCATAAAAACAAAAGAAAAAAGGAATGGAGGATCGGAAGGCCTAATGTTCAGCGTGATAATTTACTAAGAAAGTAAGAAATACTTGAATACTTGATCATAAGTACAAGTTAAATAATCATGTATGTCGTGTTTTGCTATACAAAAAGCATATGTCCTTTGGTGTCGATATTTTTGTTCTTCAACCACATAGTTGAAGTGTTAATGACTATAATCATGTTACAGGCCTACGTTCTTATACCCTGGCCTCAAACCTCGACATGTTGTGGTACCTGGTTTTTAGTGGACAGAAATTAGTCTATAAAAGGCTCCACTAAAGTGTCTGATAAGACTTATAATTAAAAACTTAGAGTCGCCACCTTATTTTTATCCGAATAAGGACGGATTTAAAAACAGTCAATTTTAAGAAATAAATCTTAAAAATAAAATAAAATCAATTGCTAACTCCATAAAAAGAAATAAGGCACAGGGTTTGGGGTTTAGGTTAAGAGAATCGAACGTCTGAAACTCGTCTTCCCTTCCTTTCTAAGGAACGAGCTCTTACTATTGCGTTGTTAAAAGTCAAGTTTTAAGACAGGTAAACCACATAAAAAATAATAATTAATATAAGGTAGGTTTGAGCACCAAAGTTGCACTACGTACCGATCATAGTGAGATTTTGAATTCACTCATGGATCAAAACCTTCGTAGTTCAGACAGATGCCATGTTTTAAATAACCAATTCCATTGGGTTTTTAATTTGGGTTGTTGTCATTTTTGTAAGTGGGATTTTAGTGATCTTTGACGGATTCACTCATAAAAGTAAAATGAACCACCTTGGTTGAGGAAAATCACCTCGATTAGTGATCACCAAAAATGTCT